TATTCTGAGAATAAAAAGACATACCGTTTGTTTGAAATTTTTTTCGCGCAAGTGCCTTTTCAACCTCTAAATAACCTTCGAACTTCAACTAGTTCTGGACTTCTGAAATCAAAGAAAATGATTTTATTAGAAAACGAAAAAATATGAATCACCAAGTCAGGGATGCTCTATTTTTTGTCGTATTACCGACTTCCGGTTCCGATCGGAAGTGAATTAAATAAACCGGAAGTGCGCTATTTGAAATTACACCTATGTACATGTTCTTACTACAGATTCGGATTCTGGGTATAAAAATAAGTAACCTTTGTTTGAAACTTTTCTCGGAAGTGTATTTTTCAACCGCTAAATGACCTTCGAACTTCAATTTGTCCTGGACTTTTTAAATGCGTAAACATTTTTTGATTGAAAATCGAAAAAAATATGAATTACCAAGAAAGTGGGTTAAATATACCGGAAGTGCAATATTATAATCGGAAGTCCAGTCCAGAAAAAAGTTTGTATTTTTTTCCGCAGATTCCGAATCTGTAGTAAAAATATGTACATGTATCTAGATTTTCGAGAGACACTACCGAAGACGATATAAAGATTTATATCTCATCAAAAATTACAACTTTCGACTTAAGCATCAGAAAATTTAATTTTAAATACGAAAGAAATATTGCTTCATTTAAAATTGGCGTAAATTTAGATAATTTTAATGAGCTGCTTAGTAGTTCTTTTTGGCCCCCCGGAGCTTTCGTTCGTGAATTCGACTACAGTATATTTTGCTTTGCTGCCTTAATGCTTAAGTGCACATTTAAGATACCTACCCTAAACTGCGCACTAGCGGCATTATTTTTAACATTTATAAGAAAACTCCTCCGATAGATGCATTCAACATACCTTCGCATTGGCGATACCAGCCTTAAAAATTGTGCAACTATTATTAACTATCAAAGAAAGTATTAGGTTTACCTGCACTGGCCCTACAATTACCTACTTTTTCAAGCTTTTATTTATTTTGCTCATCTCGCAGAACAACGAAAATGGCTATCAATTAATGTAGTTATATAGATAATTAGATACAATTCGGTAAAAATTTCGCTTGCAGTAATTTCTACGTGGTAAGTGCTCCTCCATTATTTGGTTTCATAGGGATTCGGATACCTTCCTCATTGAAGTAGTAAAGAAAATTCGCTTAAGTGCTTGTTTCGGTTAAGTGTACAAGTTTTTCTTGCAAAGGAGGATGGGCAGCTAAGTAAAATATACTGTATAGGCCCAAAATAGGAAATAACTTAGCTAATATTCTCCGTCATAACACTGAATCAAAAAACTAATCATTAAATCTGCTTTAAGTATTTATTGACGGCCGATGTGGTGTTGTGGTAAGCAGTGCGCGCTTCCACTCTGCAACGCCTGGGTTCAAACCCTGGTCAAAGCAACATCGCAAAAACTATAGAAAAAAGGTTGTTTCTTAACAGCGGTCGTCCCTCGGCAGACAATGGCAAACCTCCGAGTGAATTTCTGCCATGAAAAACAGCTTCTCATAAAAAATACAATCGCCGTTCGGAGTCGGCGTAAAACTGTAGGTCCCTCCGCACTGTGTGACAACATCAAGGCGCACGCCACAAATCGGAATAGAAGCTCGGCCAAACACTAACATAAGTGTAAGCGCCAATTTATTATTATTACTTATTATTACCAAAATGTAGAGGCTTAAATACTAAATTAACGAACTTATACCTTAAAGGCCTTGAATGTAATTATAATATTTCTTTCACTGAAACTTGGCTGACCCCTCACATTTTCCATTCAGAGATTCTTCATCTTCTTCTTATCATATCTATAGACAAGATAGGGAGGACAGAATCGGCGGTGGCGTACCCTTCGCTGTAGACTCTTCTATACCATCTGAAGAAGTTAGTCTTCCACACATTGATTCAGTAGAATTCAAATGCATTCGTGTACAGGTTGGAAAAGTGTCTATTTACTTAGCTCTATGCTATATCCCTCCCCGATTTGACACATTGGTGTATTCACGACTCATCTCTTTACTGAAATCAGTTAATTTACTGACTAAACCCTCTGATTCAATGATTACATTGGGTGATTTTAATTTACCAAGCATATCATAGAACATCATTGACATAAGTTTGGTAAAGTATTAGATCTTGTTTATGTTGATGATGCATCTAAATCCGTTATAAATAAGCGTGATCCACTAGTTTTGCCCGAAGATGTCTACCACCCTGCTATGGAGGTATCTTATGAAGCTATAAGTGATGGTCAAAATTGCAGTACCCAAGCATACGAACCAAATATTCGCTTTGATTTTTCGAAAGCCAACTTTACAAAGCTTAACAAAGAACTGTCTAAATTGTCGTGGCCTGTATATAAAGAAAATATTGAACAAAGCGTTGCACTTTTTAACTTTACTTTACATAAATTATTTGAAAAGCATGTGCCTAAACGCGTGTATGTTCCTGAAGACCAAACACAGTTATGGTTCACTAAAGAACTGAGAAATTTGAAAAACAGAAAGTCACGTTATTTTAGATTGCCCAAAAAACCGGCTTACACTCATACGATGTAAAATACTCACTTTTGCGTCATAAGTTTT